ATTGGGAAACTTTCAGATAAATACTTTTTATGTCTCTTCAAAGATATACACAAAGGAGAGGAAGGGGAATATTTCAGGATATCATTCACCTGTTGGAGTCCAGTTTAAACCATGACAAAAGTTGTGCAACATTCCAGCTTGTATCAGTTAACAGGGGAGGTCCAGAAAGTGTTTTTCTTCTGGTCATCACAATCATGCTCCTAATAAACAAACTTTGCCTAGGAAGGGTTCCCTGTGAGCCTCCTTGCAGACAAGCATTTGTGAACAATTTGCATTACTTACCATAACTGCCAGCCAGCCTAACCCAATGTTGGCCAGAGCTGCTGCCCTTTTCAGGTGTGCCTTGAGCAGTCAATTAATTTGTGCAGGGAGCATTTCTAGGCCATGGAATTTGTCTATACTGTGAAACGGTCAGCATGCTTTATGGCACGACTTTGGCCCAAGCTTGCTAGCACTCTGCCAAACAGATCCTGGGCAAGGTTCAGAAGTTAGCAGAGGCCAGAGACCATACCATACAAAGTCTGGATGTAGCCATCCTCTTTCAGAGACTAAAAGAATTACAACATATGGACAGAAACTGTTCCATGCCAGCTAAACTCAGTGCCAAAAGATAAATCTTGGTATGTTTAATTTACTGCTACACGCAGATCCTGAGAAATCCCAAATCCCAGCAGTTCTCAGCTTTCCATATTGATTTATTCAAATCATTTACTGCTTGACTAGATACACATTTGATTTTCATTCTGAAAGGGCAAAATCTTTATTTTAACATTTTTATTTTTATTTTTAACATTGTGTTTCCTATTCTCATTTAAAAGTGTGTATTCTACGCAGCAGAAATGCTGTCACCAGCACCAGAGAAAGGAATTAGGAAATCATAGAATCATAGAATGGCTTGGGTTGGAAAGGACCTCAGGGATCATCAAGTTCCTACCCCCATTCCATAGGCAGGGTTGCAAACTGCTAGGTGAAGTACTAGATCAGATTGCCCAGGGTCCCATCCAATCTGGCCTTAAACACCTACGGGGACAGTACTTACAGTAAACTCTGATATAAAATAAACTTTGATATATTTTTCAAATAAACTTTGATGGGGGCTATCATACCAAGTCAGATGTGACAAAATCAGGCTGAAATTCCTGTGATGAATTCACTTGCTATATTCATTCTTGTCTATCTCTACACTCTAGTCTCAACACTGAAACACATTTTTGTAGGTTCATTTTTCACCACCTTTCTTCTAAACCAATCTATCCAGTGACTACTGAATTTACACTGTAGCCTGTGTCACTTTTGTTTCTGGAGTAGTGAACTGCCTCCACACTTCCAAGGTACTGTAGTAATCTCCTTTAGGACTCTAACATCAAGGAAATTTTCATTCATGGTCCTGTTTCCAGAGACTACCTTGACACAGAAAAGAAATTATTCTCTTTTTAACTGAACACCTTTTTATTGTTAGAGAACTGTTAGGGAGCTTTTCAAGCAAAAAAAAAAAAAAAAGTGCCTAATGTTTACTGACTTTTTTGCATAACTGTAAGTTAATTACTGAATTATGTTTTGCTTTCCTCATTCCTCTTATAGTCCTCGCTTAGTCCTTATGCCCTATAAGTACAAAATTGATGTGACAGTTGAAGACAGCAAGATTTTAGTTATCAAATGAAACATCACACAAAACTCTAGAAAGGGTATGCTGACACAAGCAGCTGTCACACCATTTTCTCTGGGAGGTTATCTTTTATCTGTATACGATCACTGCATATCGTCCATAAAAGTCCTAGGGGAAAGCAAAAGAAAATGTAGGGTTCTTGTTTGATGTTTTCACTGAGATGCTGCAACTTGAGGGGAACAGTGTGAATACTGCAGTAAGAATGTAGTTAGAAAAATTTCATAATATGCAGATCAGAGAGGGAAAGCTTGATACCAGATTCCTCAAACAAAATTGGTACTGAAATCAGTTTGAAATTAAAGATCTCTGCCTAAGTACATTTTAAAGAGCAGTTAAAGGTGTGGCATAGACATCACACAATCACACAGTCAAGAGATCATTGAGTCTAAATGCCCTGCTAAAGCAGATACCCTACAGTAGGTCACGCACGTAGGCATCCAGCTGATGCCTTGAAGAGTAGAGTATCTTGAAGGATACTCTACTCCACAACCTTTCTGGGCAGCCTGTTCCAATGCTCCGTCACCCTTACCATAAAGTTCTTGTGCATGTTAGTATGGAACTTCCTCTGACCAAGTTTTAGGCCACTACTGCTTGTCGTATCGCAGCACACCACTGAGAAGTGCCTGGTCTTATCTGTTTGCCTCCCAGATCTCTTTAAATATTTATGAACATTTATTAGATCCACTCTGATCTGATCAGTTCTGATATCATTCAGAGTATGCTTTAAGTTGCACTTCATTTCCAGTTTCTTCTATGTAAATCTGTGAGATTTTTCAGAATGCTTTATTTCATACTTACTTAAAACTGTTTATCACATGATGTTCCCAAATACTTTGTCACTGATTTTGAAGGAAGTATGACAAATTAATGTATGTTTCTATTCAGAATTAACATTAAATCACACTGACTCTATCAGTTTTATATTTTATGTAATATAAATGGTCTTTCATAATTGTAGTTTGAAATGCAAATAGATATTGCAGAACTGCTCATTTTGGAAATGCATTTGCATAAACAAAAAATTAATAAATATTAAAATAGAAAGGTGTTACTTATTATTATTGTATGTAAATAATAATGCAGCCGTTGATACAATTTATGAGATGGGGTGATAGTGCTCTATTTCACATTTTGTGTACTGCAACAGCTTTCTGAGATACTTAGTTGATTCTGTCTAAGGTTCTATTCTGTGCTGGATTTACACTGCCGAGCCTAACTGCAACACAATATTCTAATATTTCATCTAAAAAGTGCAATAGTGTGCTGTTACAGTTTCAGTTCATTTGGCAATGACAAGGGTTTTTAAGAACTAGCATTAAAATCTTAATGGGGAAAAAAAAAAAAAAAAAAGCAAAACAAAGCAAACAAAACTCATGAGGCAGTTCTGGCTGGGGAAAAAAAAGCTTTTGCTTTAAGGCATGATACAGAGTCTTGTTCCTAGCCCTACATCCTGATAAGTGCCTTCAGGAAGATCTTTTTCATTATCTCTGTCTCTGCTCCCTCTTCTCTGTGGGATACAAGAAACTTGTGTTCACTCAGACATTTCACTTGCAAGTGTTTTTAGGCAAGGATTCTCCTGTACTGTTTTGTCACTGCAGAACAAAGGGGGTCATTCTCAAAGCAGTCCATATGGTGTTGCTGACATACAAAGACCAACAAAATGTTCATTTGGCTAGAACTGAAAGTTTATTCCAGCTGGCAAAAATACAGCTGCTATATCCTCTCTATGCCATGGATGGCCCTGAATACATTTAATTAATAGACTGCTTTCAGCCAAGCATATATTTGTAGTCGGGCGTGGAGAGACATTATGAGAAATGTACTGATGTCAAACTAATCATATTAATATAAAATTATAAACGGATGTTGCTGACTTAGCTTGGAGATACATGAACAATAAAATCAATCGTAAAGGCTACTTGGTGATTAAAACAAGGACTGTGTGAAGACAATAATGTGAACACAGTTTTATTGCTATCTTATCAAAAAATAAGGTAATGACAGTGAGAATTACCTTGTGATCATCAACACTGAAGTGAAAGAACACATGATGCATAGTAACCTAGTGTGCTGCAAAATCTCTTACGCTCCTGATAACACTAAGTATTAAGCTTAGAAAGGTAGAGAAGTTGAGAGGAAAAGAGCCTGTGTTCCTGTAACCAGAGGGCATAGACCAATAAATGATTTGAGATAAGAATGGCCTGTAGCTTTGTTAAGATGAATGAGATAAAGCCTAGGAAAGGAGCAAATTCACCTTTGGCGTTACCTTGATGATCACAGTCTTCACATAAAAAAATGAGATTGCTGGGAAACTATTCCATATTAAAAACAAATTCACTTTGTCTGCCATTTAAAACATGTTAGATGACATAGTCATGTTTGATCCAAACCTTCTCCAGATTAATGGCTTTTACCATTAAATATATATTTTTAAATTACTTGTATTCATGCACAGAAAAAGGATATTTTGGTTAATCAGGCTATTACAAATATCTTACAAAGAAAATGCTGAAAATCTTCAGGCACCCAAGGAAGATGGCACAAACCTGAAGCTTTAACTGCAGCTCCCACATTGTTAAAACCTCTGCTAACATCTCTCTAGCTGAGTATCCCCCTGCCACTCAAAAATTAGGATATGTAAGCATCACTAGCTGCTGCATGAGTAGATTTTTGTTCTCTCTTCCTGTTCAAGAGGATAGTTTGCAGAAAAGAACACCTATTCCATAGCACCACTTTTTCCTCATTTAAGAATTTTTATAGCATCTTTGAAATGTAGGAAAAAGTAGAAGATGGAAAAGGTTTCAGGTGATTTGGTTGACAAGCTTAGCTGACATAGCAAAAAATTACACTTTCTGTTACGCATCTACTACCATTTCTCCTAAATTATTATTATCATTAATTATAATAATTATTATAAATTATTATTTATATAGTAAATATATAAACTTTATATAAATATATAGGGGAACAAGAAAACAAAAAAGGTCCTAACTGGCACTTTGAAATTCTTTGTAATAATATATATAACTTTCAATAGACTATATATTGCACCTGGCTGCACAGATTATAAATATATGTCATCCTGTGCTATTTCTTAAAGGAATTTAAGTCAGAATATATACTACGCTGAATTTTAATGCCTTAAATGTTTTATTTTATGTTCTAGGGTTGAAGACAGCAAAATGATGTAGGAAAGCATTTCTTTTTCATTACTCTGCTATATATACAGCTAATATATAGACTATAACATTCAGTGGCAACCCACAGTAGTTTAAATGCTATCTATCAAACTTCTATAGCTTGCTTAGTTAATAGAATTATTATCTTGGCTTACCCAGATCTGTAGCTTAATTCTTTTTTCATTTTTGAAAACTGTTTTTACTTTGAAATCGATCCCAACTGTGCTCACAAATGCAGAAGTAAAGGAATCATCAGCATATCGGAACAGAAAGGAGGTTTTCCCAACACTGCTGTTGCCAATGATGAGCAGTTTGAACATGTAATCAAAGTTCTGGTCAGATGTATCTTTCTGGCCATATCTGGAATCTTGAGCAGATGCCATCTGTAATTCAGAATAAAAAGAAATAATTTATTGTCTTTCGAGTCACATAAACCACGAAAATTCTAGATTTTATTGGAATTTTTGGTAACAGGCATATAGAGCTAAGAAATTCACAGACGTTTAAGACACTTCTAAGATTCTTGTATTCATGATAATAGTTGAAAAAGAGGACTTATCAAAGCTAAACATCACTATAATGAAAAAAAGATCCTTCTAGAAGTCCAGCTCTTGATAATGGTTATGACCTACATTCAGAAAATGTAAAGAATGAAATAAATTGTGAAAATACAGACAAAGATGCTTCTCTTCACATTCACAAGGAATAAATAAGAGATGATAGGTAACTTATTGCAGAGGAGGTACAATTCCAAACTAAAACTTAGAATCATTAATACGTGATACAATTCTTGAATAATTTATGTTACTATAAATATTCTACCATAATTTCTTAATGCCTACCATGTTTTGTATATATTCGCCATTAGTAGCTTTCCATGAAACAGTGAGTTAGTATATACCTCTGAAATAAGGTCTTGATATTTTTCAGTTCTCGTATCTTGTATAGTTTTGGAATGGGAATAAATGACAGCTGATAATGTCTTCATATTTGCATCCTTAAAACAAGAGTTCTAACTCATGTAAAACATCAGATTACAAAAACTGAATAAACTGAATACACTGAATATCAAATTTATTTTGCTTAGAGGCTTCAAAGATAACAGGTTTCATAATACATTATATGCCCTACTTTCAGAAGGGTTGCAGAGGTTAATTTGAAAACTGAGACAAAATCTTACCTGTGATGATTAAAAAGCAGATGGCAAAACAAAAACTTAAAACTAGATGTTTTTCACTTTATGCACATGCTAAGAAAAATCTCAAGAACTTTGGAACCTGGCAGTATTTTAAATTCTTGCACTTGGGCAATGATAACGGTAATACATTTGCACACCAATTTCAGACAGCAAGACCAACAGCCCATTCTAACATAAAGGTATTCAGAAAAGCAGCTTGTGTCAAAGCTTTCTAAATTAGACATCTCAGAGTGCATTCAGGCAGTCTAAGAAGACAGCTGGAACTGAGACCTTGCAGAAGGATGAAGGGTGTACACTAACTCAGTGAATTTCTCTCAAACTTTCAATCACTGCATAAATCTTCTGAGCCAATTTTTTGTCTTCTAATACAAATAACACTATGCTAGCTTCTCTGGGCACATGGAGAGTCATACAGTAGTGGGGACAAAAAGTTATGAAGGAGAAAATGGAGGTATCAAGCTTTCAATGGAAAATGCAGTATAATATTTATATTTCATAAATAATGCATTAGGGACTGTTTGATTACAGAATTATCCTTTTTATTTGGTAATAACTAAAGTTCTTGACTAAATCTGGTCTCAGTTACCCCCATCTTTGCATCCTGAGTGCTTGCATTAGCTTTAATATTTATTCACTTCTTTCTCAAACATGCAACATTTTAGAATGAAAAAGTACAAATTAACAGGCGTGAATATCACTAATATTTCACCTTTCATATTTCTACAGTGAAATACAGAAACAAATCTTCTCCACTCTCACCACTCTCCCCTATTCTAAAACCATGTGGGTATTTTGCTTGGAACATGTGCAAAAGAAAATTATATTGTGTTTACGCTAGTCTAATCTCAGCAGGCTATCAAATACTAAAGCGCTAATGTACTGCACAACTTACAACAAGAGGAAGTCAATAAAATTCTCCAAACCAAAGGCTGTGCAGTAGCTGGGCATGTCTGTGAGTAGCCCTTATGCTTTTGCAAACAGCCTGTTCTGCTGTTCTTTGGTCTCTCTTCCACAATCTAGCAGCTGAAACCATAAATTACCACTTCTAGAAAGAAGAACAAGCATTTTCTTTCTTGATGTTTTCTCCTGAGAAGACTCCCGTGTAGCTTCTTCAGCTTGCCTCTTGACAAAGCCTGCTGGTCTCCACCAGCCTTATATTCAGCTTGCTGGACCCCATGTAAGTTACATTTAATCCTTAAGAATTTCGGTACCTCACACTTCTTCAAAAAGTTGTGATTCAGAGAGCAGAGCAATCAAGAGGCCTAGTTTCTAATAATAGTGCTTGTAATAGTCTCACTCAAGCTTGCACTTTGTGTTGCCTTCTTAGGTAAGAACATTTCTTTTCAACGCTTTTAAACAATGTTCCTCTAAGTTAATGTTTATGTGGATTACCCATGCAGTAGTTTTCTTAAATGTTCTTAACAAAATTAAAGAATAAAGCTCAGCAACTTCACTATGCCTTGAACTTATGGATTCATTACTTGCAGTGCTATATGTAGAATTAAGAGCAAGTTGAACACAGAATCTCAGCAAACTTTTCTGCCTATTATATATAGCCGAAACTATAAGAGAAAGGCAAGAAAAAGGACTTATTTCTCCACTTTCCATCTAGGGAATCATGAGGAGGTTAGTGAGTTACTGATAACAGTTCAGATTGTTTGGAGAGATCAACTTCAGCAAAGAGAAACAGTCTTCTGAGAATACCACAAGAGAGTGATCCCTTCCTGTTTCCAAAACTCAGATGAGTTTTAGAATAGTACTGTTGCCTGCACTAGCCTGAAGAAACATCAAACTCAGCAGCTGGTGTCATTACTTCCCAAAGCTCATTCATTTCATAACAAGCTTCAAAGTGTGCACCAGGCTCCCACTCTAAATGATACTGTAGAGGTGTCTCTATTTTTCTGCTAACTAGAAGAGAAACCTAGATGCTTGATCTTGCAGGGATTTGTGCATGCTCTTGCAGTGTTTCTGTTTCTTAAGTGCAAACTGCTTGTTTCAAGCATGGACTGCACTGTAGCCCAGTTGTAGAGAAAACAATACTGCACTTTTAACACGATTTGTGTCAACAATGGAGGCATTTAACAAAGAAATGTGAAAAATCTGTTACGGATCCTTCCTCTGGAAAAAATGCTGAAAATAAGTAGCAGAACAGCCATACTCAAGCATGTTAATTAAATACTACACATATTGACAGGAACCAGATAAACATGCCAAATTTGCTAGTGCTGTAATCTTCTGCTTCCAAGAAAACAAAAACTTTACTTTTATTTTGACAAAGTTCTCTCCTCAAATGATTAAATGGCTACATTAAACATGCAGCACATTCATTAAAACACACTGAATTTTCTCTCCAATTAAAATTTGTCTGTATTTAGTAACATTAAAAAGAAGATGCACAAAGCTGTTTCCATTAGCTCATTTCATGCACCATTTTTTTTAACAGCATGACGGCCCCTGCAGATCCTCACAATCACTAGGATTTCAGGAAAAAAAAAAAAAAAAAGCAGTCTTGGGCTACCTCCTGAAGGACTCAAGACAAACCTGAGAGCCCAGACCTGGCCCACAGGGCCAAGAAAACAAATCTGAAAAGGTCTTCATGATAATGCTAAAGCACTTTGCTGTGTTTCTTTCTATGGCCTTAGAGGACCTTTTTCTTTGATAGAATTAATTTGAACAGCTTTCTCACTTAAGCAGGGCAAGGTGCCATGACATTCCTGGCCTAGACATCACTTCAGTTTGAACTTATACATCAACCATACTCTGGATGTCTATGCAGACTGAATTGCTCTTAGAAGAGAGAATGTAAAAAGAAAAGCTGTGATTGAAAATACTAAGGTTCATTCTTTTGCGTATGCCACAGCTACTTTCTATCCTGTTAAAAATTATAACAACAGGTATATTTTAAAGGAAAAGATTAAGAGTAAGCCTGGAGAAAATGTTCTCTCTCTACTTACAGTAAGAATAGATGGACATGATTGGATAAATTTTAATTGTTTCAAAGAGTAGGATTTTTTTCCATATATTGTGTAGAAATACATACATTTATATTGCTTTCAAAAAAGACTAGCTATGTTAGCAAAAAGACAACTCTCTGTACAGGCAGCTTTTTGTGAGATGGATCCTCCTTTTTGTCAAATATTACTAATCAAGATATCCAGGTGAAATGGAAACAATGAAATGGATTGAATTGAAACAATGAATGGAAACAAGTGGAAAATTCAGTATTTGTAATTCCTGAGATAGAATGTAGGATGCCCCACAAGTGAGCAGCTTGAATCTGCAGATCAAAGTTCATCATCAGTGTAGTTAGGATATTATCAAGATCCTTATATGGAAGAACATTTCATTTATTCTATGACTGTATGGCTTACTCATGAAGAAAAGAATGATTTCATACGTAAACTGCCAGATGAATAATCTGGGGATTGAGTTTTGTCTCTGACTTTTTCCAAGATATACTCTGACTCTCATTTTCCTTTTTTTCCTCATGTCTTCAGCAAGATGCTCAACCTCTCTTACTTTAGTGCTCTCTCAACAGTTAAATGACTATCCACAGATGCAGGCCACAATCCTCAAAAAGCTTTGCAGATCACTCTTATCATCTCATTTTTAACAGAGTTCAGTGGACAATCATTTATTTGGAATTATGGATCACTGACCATCTGCAGCATACAGCTTGTCAAACAAGTTAATTTGTAGCATCAGGAGAAGCATATCTACTTCAAGGTATTAGGAATTTGTATTCATGAATATTTGTAAGCATATCATTCCATTTGAAAAGTATTGTTAGAGATGTTTTATTATAGTAGACATAATGAAAGGCCAAGTTGGAGAATTTGAGGAGATACAGACAGGAGAGAATCTAAAACAAGCTCAACTTACTTTGTATCAGCAGAAGTAGCATGAATATGGCCACAGTGCTGGCTACTGCCCAGGACAGCAGCATGCAAGGAACAATAAAGAACAGTTCTGGAAAAGCTTTAGCACATGATTTCTAATGATCTGCTTATGGTGAACTAAGCATTACTTCTCAGCCATTTTTCATTAACCTTTCTCCTGTGAGTGAAATCTAAGAGTAAAACATGCACAGATAGTAACCTTGAGTAAACATTAGGTAGTGAAAACTATTCAGGCAGACGTAGACACGGGACATTGAGAAGAATTGAGTGTACACTAGACCTGCGTACCTTTGAGTTGCATTAGAAAATACGGAACCAGCAAATAAGTGACTTTAAACAGAAGTAGTGGCAGAAAATGACTCCAAATGATTAATTAACAAAAAGGTAAGTATGACTTGTTCTGTGGACTCATTGGTTTCTCCAGTTCTTCTAATATTGACCAAGAATGACAAATCTAATAATTTTACTCATTGACAGAAGATGCATTGCCATACTAAATTCTGTGTCTAAAGGATCTGATTTGGCTTTTTTTTTTTTTCATCATAATTGTACAAACTCTTAAGTATCTGGAAAGATTCTTTTTACTTGCTCTTGCTGTTCTACATTGTGTTTGCATGTGTCTGTAATAAACCATTATGTCTGAGCATAACCATTGTCAGTGACAACAGGACGTGAAATGCTCTGAAAAAAAAATGTTCTCATTTGTTCTCTGACAAAGCATCAGAAATGCTTATATTGTCTTCATAGATTGTTTCCTTTTCCATACTTTTATCTCACCTCTATGGCATTAGTGATCTTTGAAATTATTTGCCTAAGAGAATTGCAAAACTAGTCACAAACTCTGATCCAGATCCAGCTATCTCTAGCAGATGACAATAGCCAGTTTTTATGCTGGCTCTTTCTCTGGAAGGACAGTTTGAGCTGCCTTTCTGGTAAGTTTTGGCTCTTCTTGTCTTCTTGAGAAATGTCATGAGCCAGAGTTTCAAACAAGGAATTCATAAATACCAAAAAGACAGTCTTAATGCACAGGCCCTTTTTCTTATCCTCCTACAATGTTTAACTTCTTGGTTGTCTTTTAAATTATTTTTTGATGGAAATGGAAAAAACAAAACAAAACAAAACCAAACCAGTGCTTACACATTCTTCTGACTTCTTTTTGTCCTGATCAAAAGACACATACTTAATCACTTTTTTTGTTGCTCTATGGTTCAGAGAGATGTTAGCTCTAGAATGGACTGTTCCACAACACTTTTATGTACAAAGAAGCAACAGTATTTGTTTCTTGGAAATCAGGCAATTAGTCCAACCAGTTCTAAGCCACATATGAACAAGAAGGCTGGAAAAATAAAAGATTCTTAGGAGAAAAGTCCATAATAGAATATTGTTTTACTTGAATCTCTAATAAGAATAGTAGGTAAGTACACATGGAATGGTGTAAGTAGAAGAAAAAAATGTAGAGAAACCACAAGGCAAAATCAAACTTCATCTGCCAGACTACATTTTCACACAATTATCATTTTGGATCATATCTGTTTATAAACAGACATTGTTTGACCATTTCTCTAGCTTTGAAAAACTGGAATTTAAAGTGGTTTGTGGTTTTTTTTTTTAGTGTTCATTGTCTGTTTATGCTGAGGCTCTGCTATCTACTTTTATTCACTTTTGTTAAAAAATAATTCAATTTACACTGATAACTAGATATAAAAAATAAGCAGCAGTTCTCTGATATATGGCGGTTAAATATGTATTCAAATATGGACTTTATTCTCCTCAAATTTTATTTTAATATTGAACAACAATTCTGTTTTTTCAAATATTTATCAGTGCCAGTGACCCATCAAATGTCAAATGCAAGAGTGACCAATCTGTATTCTTCATCAGAAAAATCTGCTTTTAATGAAATGCTCTTCAAAGCCAATACATGCTAAATATGACTTTGATATTTCAAAAGACACATGTAAATAAATGTCAAATTCCACATAAATATTCCTAACACATGCACACAGCATGCAGAACTAGGCAGTTTAAACAGCAGACTAATTATTCTGTTCTCCAATCAGAAAACTGAAAAACATTCTTAGTGAAGACTGGTTTATTTGGAGTGCACCTGTTTGACTGAAATATTTCAGCATATGACATCCAAGCAAAATGTTTATGAAATTATCATCCTCTGTCCAAAGTCAAAGAAACCCAACGCCACTTCAGTGTAACTTAAGATTTCAGATTGTTTTCTGAGCAAGCATATTAAAGTGAATGCAGTTCAAGCTGGTATTACAGACAGCAGATATCCAGCGTGAAAAATATTTGCTAACAGAGCTGCAGTTCAGAACTTAAATCACCACTGACTTCAGAAGTGTTCTTTGCATTGTACAGAATCAGCAAGATTGATTGCTACCAGTTCACCAGAAACGTGACCAATCTTCTATTAGAAAGCAGTCATGTGTTTGAGTATACAGTCTAGGGGCCCACAGCTCCCACAAGAGATCATAAAAGGGGTCATAAGAAATAATTAATATACAGCAAACTGCACAGCACAAATTTTTAAACAACTATCGAGATACTGCTTTAAATTGTGCAGTGTTACTTGTGTCTGCATGTACATCATTTGTTTCTGACATACTAAGGGGCATGATATCCTTTCATATGTGAAATGGTTGAAAAGAGGCCACCTCCTCACTGCTCCAAGCTCAATGAGTTGACTATCCCTGCTGGAGATGGATGGCAGCTCCTTGCGCAAACAAACAGGTGGAGACAACTCGACAACTTCCTGCACGCCCAGACACCAATTCCGCACACCATCCCTTGAAAACTTACCCTCGTCTGCTCCCAGGGGCCTGCAATCAGAGCTCAAAGGGCATTAACGGTACCTGCAGGGCACCACTTGGTTCACCCCTGAAGATCTGAACCCCACAAGAGGGACTGCACTGCCAGCTTTCCTGCTCGGGCAGCCTGGGGCACCGAGCTGTGCGCAGGACAGGGCACACAGAGCCCCACAGCCGGGGCTGCCCACCTGCCGGGCAGGGTCACGGCCGGGGGACCTTCGCCCACCGGGCCCCGCACTCGCCACGCCCGACCCAGTGAGCCGCCGCCGCCGCTGCTGCCGAGCGCCGTGCCAGGCAGCCGACGGCGAGCCCAGCCCGGTGGCTCTACAGTTCCTCCTTAGGTCTCCTCCCGCCCCGTCCCGCCGCCGCCCGCCTCCCGGCCTCGCCGCACCCGCCGCCTCCTCGCCCCCGGCCCGGGCACCGACCTGCATGGGCGCTTCGTGCCTCATCGCCGGGCGCGGCCGCCGCTCGCCCCGCTGTCGCTCGCCGCCCGCTGCCCACCCGGACTCTGCCGGCAAACCCGCCTCGCGATCAGCACCGGAGCTGTCCGCGCTCCGCCCACGGCACCGCCCCTCCCTCCCGTGCGCCCCAGGGACATGTAGTCCCCGCCGCGCGCCGCTCCTTTCCCCGGCGGCGGCTGAGGACTACAGCTCCCGGCATGCTCCGCGCCCAGCGTCCTGCCGCGGAGGCCGGCGCGAGGGGTGGCGGCGCAACCCGCGCGGTTCTTTGCGAATTAATAGCGGTGGGGGAGACCCTCGGGCTGGGCCTGGAGCCCGAGGGGCACGCGGAGGCGGGGAGCCGGGACGAGAAGAGGGGGCGAGGGGCGCCGGGCCGGGCCGGGAGGCGGCGGCGGCCTGCAGGGGTCGCCCCACTTCCGTGCAGCGGGGGGCTTCCGCTTCGCCGTCCCGGCCCCTCCGTCTGCCGGGGCCTCGCTGCGGTGCGCCGGCAGCGCGGGGTCCCGACCCGCTGTTCGCGCCGCGGCGCCGCGCTGCGGGCCCCTCGCTCGCAGTGATGCCGCACTGCTCCCCCGGCGGCGCGGTGCTGTGTGTACCGCAGCCCCTGGGCTTCCTCCCCGTAGCTCTCGGCCACGTTCTGCTCTCTGTGTCCCTTCACTGTGTCCTTGCTTTGCTCTTTGCTGGGCTTTGGAAAATGGTGGTGCTGCTGCACAGTAGAAGCAGCCCGGCTCTGAAATGGCGGCCCAGCGTTGGGTGGTGGCTTGTGCTACTGGCAGCAGTAATGGGGCTGTCAGATAGGAGTACCGCGCCTTCAGATATAAAGCAGCTGTCAGATATAAAGCAGCTCACCTTCCACACGTGTTCCCAGGCTTTGTTTTCCAAGAAGTTGCTTTAAGCATATTTGTCAGCAATTTTCCCATAACAGTCTTCTGCTGAGTCCTTCGTTATGATGGGCCCAGACTATACAGCTTCCAAGCAGGTAGGAAAATGTATGATTGGTTTTGGAACCACATTTAAGATTTGACATCATCTTCCTTACTAAAGCGCTGAAGATAAAGCATTGCTGTGTTCAGCAAAAATGAGCAGCTCCAGGGACATTTGCCAGAGCTTGCGCATTATCAGGGAGAGCAGAAGGGAAGTGGTTTGCGGAAACAAGTCTGTCCTCTGAAGTACCCCTTTCTGTGTATGTGGTGCATGTAGCATAAAGCACAACACCTATAGGAGCTATGACCTAGGCAAACTCTATGAAGGAGACATGAATATGGATTTAAGTGTCTACCAAAAGTAGTTTCAAAATTGATGTTTTTTACCATCACTGAAAGGTATTTAAAACTATATCAGTATAACATGAAAACAGGAATTAAGTGGTGTTGATTTTTATTCGAAAACCTGATGTGTGCCATCATGTATGCTTTCAGCTGTTTCTTCTTTTCTGAACAAAACTATCTTCGACATTACTCTTTCTGACACTATGGTCATGCAGACATCATGAATTTGCTCAATCCTTACATTTTAAATCGTATCTCTCTGTATGCCTTAATGGTTGAATTTTTATGCTTGAGATTTATTGTCTTTATCAAGTTGAAAAAGAAATTACTGAATAATATTTCTCTCTGAAAACAGAGCACATTATATTTATTAGCATTTGCAATTAGGGAAAAAAAGAAACATTCCCCAAAATGTGTTGGTCTAGAGTTTTTTTTTTAAAAACTACAATATGCAATCTTGAATATAATAAACTATAGATTTACATAAAACAGTTCTCATTTTGGAATGGTACTTTAAATCTTAGCTGAATAGATTTTTGAAGCAATAGATTCAAGCATTCAATGAAGCTTCAGACTATAAAATTTGGAAAGCATACCCTGAATTTATTATTCTATCTGTATTATTCTATATTTATTTATCTTCTACTTTGTAAGTAGAAAGATACTGCAGATTCTGTATTAGAAATTATAAGACTTACATGGTGATGGATTCCCAAATTTATCCCAAAACAATGATCTTCAACATCTATTATTATATTGGCATTTATCTTAGCATTGAACTCCCCAAGGAATCTCGCATTTATGATTTCAATGCAGGGAACTATCAATAAAACATAAAGCAGTATTCTTTTTCTGATTTTGTATGTCTTTCTTTAAACTATAAAGTTACTATTTTTTAATGACAACTAGTAACATTAAGGCAAGCAGTGTCTCTGCATAAACAATACTCTTCTTATTCCCTGTTTAGTTTTTAAAGGCATTAAAATTTAAGTAATGCTGAAATATTCCTTCAGGTGTTTGCAGAGATGTTACACCCACCCCACCCCCCCACTATTTTCTAGCAGTACCTGTGTGACCAGAATTATATAATTTCATGCTAGACAACTCACATTGCTCTTCTATCCCAGTCCAATTATATGCTCTGACAGTACTTCACAAAGCACTGTTTTCATGGGGCTAGAGTTTCTGCTGATTACTAAGCAGAATTGTAGAATATCCCCAGTTGGAAGGGACCCACAAGTACCTCTGAGCCCAACTCAGGCTCCACACAGCACCACCCAAAATCCAAAGCCCACGTCTGAGAGCGCTGTCCAAATGCTCCTTCAACTCCGGCAGCTCGGGGCTGCGACCGTCGCCCTGTGCAGCCCGTTCCAGGGGCCGACCGCCCTCTGGTGCAGACCCTGTCCCCAGCCCGCAGCTGCCCCTCCCCTGGCACAGCTCCATGCCGTTCCCTCGGGCCCCGTCGCTGTCACACAGAGCAGAGCTCAGCGCTGCCCTCCGCTCCCTGTCAGCAGCTGCAGCTGCCGTCGGGCCTCCCCTCGGCTCCTCTGCTCTGGGCTGAACAAACCCAGGGGCCTCGGCCGCTCCTCACACACCTCGTCCTCTGGATCCTTCCCCAGCTCTGTAGCTCTCCTCTGGACACTCTTATTGCTTCCTGTACTTCTCATGTTTGGCATCCAAACCCGCACCCAGTGCTGGAGGAGAAGCCACCCAGCACAGAGCAGAGGGGACAGCCCCTCCCCTCGCCCGCTGGCAGTGCTGGGCCTGGGGCACCCCAGGGTACGGTTGGCCCTTTGGGCTGCCAGGGCACACTGCTGCCTCATGTTCTATTTGCCATCAACCAGTGCCCGCAGATCCCTTTCCATCAGGCTGCTCTCCAGCCTCTCATTCCCAAGTACACACAGGTATCTAGAGCTACTCTGTCACCATTGTAGAATTCAGATCTTGTTCTTGTTCACAGCACTTGCTCTTGTTCAGTCACAACATATGAAATAAGTTTGGGATACAGTTAAAGCTTAAAGCTCTGCTTTGTACGTAATTACTATAAATCAGCTGTTTTCACAAAATGCTAACATATGTCTGTGAGTTAGCTAATAAAATGTCTGTCCGGTCTTGATGTAGAAGAACGTGGCTTCAGAACGTGGTTTTGTAGCACAAATTTCATTTTGCCTAAACCATGAATTTTATAGCACATAAAAAATAATCAGTAAATTTCAGGACTGTAAAAATACTAGACATCTCGTATTAGCAATGGCATCAAGAGACATCTGGTTTGTATCCAACTGAGTGGTTCTGGATGAGTGAATTTTGGAATGACAGACATGTTGTTAACAAAGCTGTTTCAATTTCTTGCTGGAGGTGTATGTAACTAGAAGAAAATATAAATATAATTCAACTTTTACATCACAAGTTCAATGCATGTATTGGGAATAAATACCTTCTGTGATTTGAAACTTGAAGTGTAGGCTAAACCATAAAATTAACAAGTATGATTCAAATGTTGAAGAAATCTGTGCTAAGCAAGAGAGAAATAAGGCAAGAAGAGTTCGTTAGTGATTGTTGTTTCTTTCTGATAATTTTTAGATTGAAATACTAATTCTTTAATTTGTAATTAAACTAAACAGATATTCCTGTTAGGTGCTAGGTACAAGATGTTAGGTACAAGATGCCAGCAATTTTCAAATATCCATAGATGTTGACAGTGTTTTTCTCTATTCTCTTCCTTAATGTCAAATAGCTTTCTTTTTTCCTCTGACTTTTTAGAACACAGTATTTCTTCTACTCCTGCATGCCATTTGACTTGTTCTGGGACTGGAATTTGAATACAGAGAAAAGAAATATAAAAAGAGAGACATAGGTCTTTCACAAAGCAATAAATGTCATTCACCCTGACTCCTGTCTGTCAGGTTGGAGATTTGGTTTACACTTGCAAAATGTAAATGTTAAGGCATGCCTTCCTTAGAATTTTCTTCCTTTTTTTTTTTTTTTTTTTTTTTTTAGTATGGGATCTTTATATACATTTGACTTGGTAAACAAGAAAATGGTAGCTAAATATCTCAGGAATGTTCTTTCGAATTACAGTTTTTGATACTGTTTAATCAAGAAGACAAGTGCAAATTAACAAAATAGAGTTCTGAAAGGAAAAAAGAAATTCTGATGAGAGCAGGCATGGCAGTGAAACAACAAAATCTGCCTGAAGTATAGCTCTCAGGTTGAAAATCTCTGTAGGGACATCTATTTAGAATATGAGGCAGATAAACGAAACAGAATCTTGTCAGGCAGTAAAGGATGGAGCTTGTTATATTTGCAGCAGATGAAGAAGTTTCATCACTGCATTCATTGATGCTTGGTTTGGTAGCCTCGCCAGATTCTGGAAGTGTCTATAATCCCAGCAGGCAAGATTCTCACGTCAGGCCACAAGACATTACTCTGCTGATGCATGAACTAGAGTGCCACAGTGGGGAATGAAAAAGCAGTGGCTAAAAGAGCAAGTCTGGTATTCAGCGCGTGAGACTTGACAAGTCCACATTACTATGAAAGACAAATGGTTCCTGACAGTGCAATGTTTTTCTTCTGTTTCTCACTGTAGAATGTGCAGTCACAGTCTCTTCCCTGCAAAACTTTGCAGCCGCTAAAACTGTAATGCAGAACTGAAATGCAGCTTTTCATTCTTTGGTTAAAGGACCAGCATAAATAACTGCAGTTCTGCTGTTGATGGAATTGAGGATAATCTGTCTTTGCACTGTAGTTGCCATGGCTACTGGGTCACAGAAGCATATACGCTGTCACATTGCCTGCTTCATTGGATAGAAAAGGTAACACTGTTTTTCAATTGCATTGCACACTTTGTGTCCAGTAAGCTCATCCTGATACATGGAGATCAAATGAG